GTGGCGCTATATCCCCAGCCCCTATTTTTTGGTCTTTTTTGAGACAGGGTTTCAGTATGTATTTCAGACTGGCCTCAGACTGACTTTGTAGCCCAGGCTAGGCTGGTCTTGAATTCCCAAAGATTTACCTGCTTTAGCCATCTGTGTGCTAAATTACAGGTGTGTGACACTACTCCTGGCCTACATCCAGACCATTTTTAAGTATTGAGCAGTTAGCACATAATTAACAGGGATGTTATTACAATCATTTCCGTCTGCATCTAGATTATGTATAGATGCCAAAATTCATCTTTATATATCTAGGCACATGGGTGAGAATATACTTCCAGCGGCCAACCTCCTGGGTTCCATCCCCTAGTGGTGAGGAGGAAAAAAAGTTGTTATATACATGTATTTGTGTTGACCTCTTGGTTAAAGAGACTGAATAATAATAAGGTATTGTATTTTGAAACTAAATCTGTTTGAATTTAAACCCATTTTTATGATTTTACTGGTCCAGCCAGTTATATTCTGTAAATGGTATGTTCATATGTTTTTTTCTCTTCTCTTTTTTTTCTTTTGGCGATCTTTTTCTCTTTCTCTTTTTTTCTCTTAAACCCAGGGGCTCACAGTACTTTGTCACTGAACTGCAACCACAGCCGGTTTTCTTTATCTGTTTAAAAGAAGGATTGGTGTAGAATAGTACTAGTTTACTGTGTCTTTTCAAAGTCAGTGATAAATACAATATTTCTTTTCTTTTTTTTTGATGAATACAATATTTCTAACACCTTTTTTCTCTATAAGAAGGAAGGGATAAACTAATATATCACTCTGAAATTTAATGACAAAAGAATATAGAGTAATTATTGTGGTTAAATAAGGAAGAAAAAAATTAAAAAATAAAAAAAATAGAAATAAATAATAAGGAAGAAGAAAATTGAACTGGTCCAGGCTGGTCCAGAATTCTGTGTACATAGTTTCTACTAGGACCAATCTTTTTCTTCTTCAGGGATTCTTTAAACATTACTGAGCTAAAAATCAGGGTTTTTTTTTGTTTGTTTGTTTTGTTTTGTTTTGTTTTGTTTTGTTTTGTTTTGCGGAACTGGAGATTAAACTCATGCTCTTGTGCTTGTCAGGCAAGCACTTATTCTACCGAGCCATCTCCCCGGCCCAAAATCAAAAGTTCTGTACGTAAATTCTAGCTCTGCTTCTGAACTTGTGTCTCAGCTTGCATTTCCTCATCTATCAAGTGAGACCAGTGATGCTTATCTCTCAGGGCTTTTGTGACAGTGTAAGTCTTAAACAGAAGGCGTCCTCCACAATACACGTGCATTGTTTAAACCATATATGTCAGGGACAAATGCTAAAATCATGTAAAGCAAAAAACATGTAAAGCAGAGATCATACAGTATTTTAGCTTAAGAAGTTAGGTAAAGAGGAAATTGATTAGGAGAGGTATCAAAGGGGGGGATACATTTTTAATCAAGAGTTTGGATAGGATATGTTATCTTTTCAGTAGTGCTTCTTAGGTCTAGAAGTGTTAATTAACTGTATTGTAAGCTATATTTAAATAAATAACATTGAAATCGAACTGACTTATTTTCTAAAACTTTGTATAATTCCTCATACCTTCCACACTGTCGTATCAGAACCATAGGAAATTGTTAAGGAAATTTTTAGTCTCAACATTCCCCATGTACCACCTCCGGAGTTCTCTTTGGTTTTATCTGCTTGCACACGTGCTTGATTTTTGTTTGTTTTTTACATACTAAGGATTGAACCCAGGACCTTACCACACTAGGTAAATGCCCAACCACTGAGTTGTATTTCCAGTTTGTTTGTTTTTTTAAAACTTTGATAGAGGTTTTGCTAAGTTGCTCAGGCTGGCCTCATATGTTAATCCTCCTGACTCAGCCTCCCAAGTGACTTGAGATTATAGGTGTGTACCACCACACTTGGCTCTTGTTTATTTTTGAATAGATAATATATATGAGTCTTTGAGAACCACCATCTGCATTTTTGGGGTAATAGGCAAACTATTTGATATATTCATCTTGTATGGAAGTACTCTATGGATTTATAACAATATGTTGCTTGATTTCACTAGGTTTGCAATGTCTTATAATAACAAAGGTCAACAAAAGCTGTGTTTTTTTGTGGGTGTGTTATTTTGACATTTTAAAATATACATCTTGAGTTGAATAAAAATGAGATGTTTTTGTTATGAATATTTCTATGACCAGAACTTTTGTTGTGTATGTTCTCAGTCTATTTTTCTCCAGTCTTTTCTTTTACTATTGATGGTTCTGCAAAAGTACAGCAAAAACAAAAACTCTAAGCACAGTAAAGTTTGAAAAGCCTTCGTTCTGCCATGTTGTTTTGATTTTTGTATCCACTGTGTTGATTGAAGATGAAAAGCCCAGAGCAGAAACTGGAAACCTCATGACTCCCAGGTTTCAACATTACACTGGTTCCCCAGAGCAAAGAGGTGGTGCTGCTGTACAGAACTGGTTAAAAGCATCTTCTCCCTGGGAAGCGTCAATAGCGTGATTACAGGATTTCTGTGTGCCTGCTGGAAAAAGAAATGTGTGAACTCTGGTCATAATACACTGATGTGTTCTTCAGAATAGAACAGCCCTGCCATTGAAGCCCACTCTGAGTGTGCATTTTACAGAAGTGTTCACCATGACCTAGTTAAAATGGGTTTACTTTGACCTCTATATCTTGTCTTGGGTGATCAGGATGACAGATGACAAATAAAAATCACTGACATGTAGGCATCTCACTTGCAGCCTGGTTTCATTAGTAGTGCCATTCTTCACCAACCAAGGTGAAGACTAACTATTGCTTTCATCAGTCACACACGACAGCAGATAGAGTCTGTGTATCTCATGGAAGTAAGATCTGGGGAGAGTTGTAAGCTGGATTCACATTGTACCCTGTGGAAGGCTGAGCTCTGTGGTGCTGCAGCAGTTGTGTTTAATGGGAGGGATGGAAAGGTAAGGAAAGAATTGGATGAATTAATGTAAAATTTATTTTTCTTATAACTTCTACCACAAAGGGAATAAACATTCATTAAATTGTTAAACAATTAGAAGTAAATGTCTTCCCCTCCCCTCTCTGAATCTCCAGAGGTAAGCACTATTCTGTTAAAATAATTTGTTGTGTCTCTTTCCAGAGTTCTTATTCATATACAAAACATTTTAACAAACTACTATAGAAAAGGGATTAAACTATACATATTCTTTGCTATTTGCTCTTCTTACTACACTGTATTTGTCCTGGTCATTATCCCCTAGTCTTTGCTGATAATGATCTATAGCCAGTGACTACCACGAAATGTTTAACCATTCTCACAGACAGGCATTTAGGCACTGCAGGAGAGTTTTGCTAAGAGAAAATTGTGCATTAATCTTCCTATGCCTTTGTTTTTGTTTGCGTTTAGGTAAATTTTCTTCTGCATTAGACTTGTGACAATAAAATCAGTAAGTCAGAGGGCTTTTGGAAAATGAGTTGTCATTGGTGTCCTAGAAGTTTTTAAAAAGCTTTATTTAACACATTGTGAAATCTTTGACACCATAGAGTGTTGGAACTTGGAATGTAAAATTTTTTTAAACCTGTACCTAATCCCAGGGCTCGGGGTCCTGGGTGGTTTACTGAGGATTGAGCCCAGGACCTGCCCCAGCCTGCCCACTTTCTTTTTGAATTTTAAGATGGTCTCTGTAAGTTGGTAAATTGCCTGGTTTAGGCTCAAATTTATGATCCTTTTGTTGTGGCCTCCTCAGAGTGCTGGGATTATAGGTGTGTGGCACCGAGCCTTGCTCTCAGAGATAACATTTATTCTAGGGTTACCACCAGAATTGTAAACACTGTATCTGCCTGGTATGATACATCTTTTCTTCCCTGTCATTCATGAAAAGTGAGGAATTTAATGGTTTTTGCCATCAGTGATACACTTGGGTGTTTATTGTGGTGAATTGCAGTGGTTTACTTATGACTTTCAATGTGTTTAAATCTAATTTTTGGAGATCACAGATATTATGCAGAATTCTTCCCATGTTTTTCTAATTGTGTGTCTTTTACCTCATTACCTTCTTTTACTGATACAGTAGTGGATTTTTAAACCATTTTTACTGTGTTACTCAACTATAATTATCTTTGATTTTCCTATTTAAAAGATCCAAAAAAAAAAGCCAACCCAAAAATAGCATTTCTACTATGAACGATACTATATCGCAGAATTAAGTAATATGAGGAAAATGATAGTCATATGACGTGATTTAATAATGTTAACAAGACACTTAAGTCTGTCAGTCAGCTGTTGAAATAATACCACAGTTTTTAGTTATTTAGATATTTTGCAATTTCGAATTGCCTCCCCCTTAGTGCCTCTAAAACCTTTATCTTAGGGGCTGGTGAGATGGCTCAGTAGAATAAGTGCCTGTCTGGCAAGTGCAAGGGCCTGAGTTCAATCCCTGGTTTCGCCCAAAACAAAACGAAAAAAACCTTTGTCTTGGCAAATTTTTAAGTTTTTTAATTTTGCAATTTGAATGGATTTTGATTTTGTCTTTGCGTTCTTCAAGTTCTCCAACTTTCTGCTATAATTTGGCTTATGACCTACTGTCATGCTAGAATTTCTTGGTCTCCTCAGTCCACTCATTTTTTTCAGTTCGGTTGAAAAACATTTTCATATTATTTCTCCAAAGCAGTTCGTGGATAGTCACTTTCAGAATATGTGAGTCTGGAAAGGTCTTTAGTTTGCCGTCACACACAGTTCTCTCATAATTTGTTTGAGATGTGAATTCTTGTGATTGGTGAGGTCCTTTCCCCTCAGAGCTTTGAAGACCTTAGTCATCTTCCATTGTTTTGCTGATAGAGTCAAATATAATTCTAGTTTTCCTTTTGGAGTATTCTTTTTTTTTTTTTTTTTTTTTTTGGGCAGAACTCAGGCCCTTGCACTTGCCAGGGAAGCGCTTATTCCACTGAGTGATCTCTCCAGTCCCTCAAGTATTCTTTAAATGACCTTTTCTCTATGAAAAGTTTTTTAAACTATGAATTTGCAGATATTTTAAACAAATCTTCACGGAAATCTTTAGTAAAAGGCGAAAGATTTATACGATCTGAAGAGAAACCAGAGTATAAAATCTTTCTTGATATCCTTTGATCTGCAGTCTTATTTCTCAGTTCTGTACATATTTGGTAGAATTCTCAGGTCATGAACATTTTGATGCTGTTTGTCTTGTGCTATTTTTTTTTTTTTAATGTTTCTGTCCTTTAAGTATTGTGAGGTTTCTGTTTTTATTTTACAGAACAATCTTTAGCTGCCTTACCCATTTTGTTTTTTAAGCCTCTGCACTCCACCTTTTTTTTCGTTCCAGAAATCAAACTCGGGACCTCATATTTGTCTGCTGTGCCACTGACCCTTTTTTATCTTTCCTGATACCAACTTTATTTTTTCAGTTGTATGTTTCATTTCTAACAGTTTCAGTGATTGGTAGTTTTGTTTTTCTTTTTTTTTTTCATGTATTTAGTACAGGGTCTCACTATGTAGATCAGACTCGTAGTGATTCTCCTGTTTTCAGCCTCCCAAGTGCTGGAATTACAGGCGCTCAACACCATGCCCAGTCTCAATTGCCGTCTCAGCGCGTCCTGGGGGGCAGGGCCAGCATGGCAGGCAGGGGCTTGAACCCTGGCCGCTGTGCTCTGACTAAGCAGGTGCTCTAGTCTACTGAGCTATTTGGCCAGCCCCATTTTATTTTTCATAGCAGCAAGTTCTGTTTCTTTTGTGTTTTGTTCTTTTTTTTTTTTTTTTTTTGAGACAGGGTTCTTTCTGTGTAGTTCACACTGGCTTCAATCTCACAGAAAACCTCTGACTTGGCCTCCCAAGTTCTGGGATTACAGGCATGCACCACTGTGCTCAGCTAAATTCTATCTTGTTTTAATGTACATGCACAGTAAAACATTTAGGATAGTGAAGCTCTTGCCTAGCATGTGAGAGGTCCTGGGTTGGGTTCCTAGGACAGTAAAAATAAGCATAGTACAGAGGTGTGTGTGTTGGTTTGATTTGATCTAGTGTTTCTGTTTGTTGTCCCAAAGCCATTTACACTTACTTGTTTCACCTTGTCTTTTTCCTGCCTTTTTTTTTTTTTTTTTTTTTTAAATCTCCAGTGATCCTTGTTTGGCCACATATTTGATTTTTATTTTTTTTAGACAGGCTCTTGCTGTGTGTAGGCTGGCCTTAAGCTTGTTTACATAGCCCAGGCTGCCCTTAAACTCAACATTGATTTTCCTGCCTGAACTTCCAAGTGCTGGGATTATAGGTGCATGCTTAGCAGTGGCCAAATATTTCGTAGTTTTGTCTTGATTAGTATATGCAGTTCTTTGTTTCTTAGTCTTCTTTTAATCATTTGGAATGTGTGTATGTGTGTGTGTGTGTGTGTGTGAGTGTTTTGTGGCCAGCTCAGCCCACCCTGGGTCCAGGGCTGGTGCGACATTGGTGCCAGGAATCAAACCATGGCCCCTTGCTGCCTAAGCTTGTCTAACGCTGAGCTGTCTTGCTGGCCCTGTGTGTATATTTGTGTTTTGTGGTTTTTTGATTTGTTGTTTTTTTTTTTTTTGGTTTTTTGTTTTTGAGACAAGGTATCAACTATGTAGCTCAGTTTGACCTCCTGCATCAGGCGTCTATGTACTGGGATTATAGTTGAGCACCACCGTGCCTAGCTTTAATATATCCATTTCTTTTTCTGGATGGTAGATGCCCTGGATTTGCATTGTGTGTGTAGAGATAGGTAGAGAAGAGCAGTCTTGTAACCAGTTGCTTGCAAGACCCTGTTTCAAAAAACTAAAAAAAAAAAAAAAAAAATTCATATAAAATTTTTAGTATATTTACATATAAGGCATTCTGTAACATTGGAGAATTTAGAAGTGATTGAAAAACACTTAATATTTAAGTTTAATTAAAATTAAACTTAATATTTTAGTTCTTTTCTCCCTAGAAATATGTTAATATTCTTCCAAAACCAAGGAAATGTAGAGTTATCAAAGATTTATACCAAAAATAAAGAGATGATTGGTATCATCTTAATTTTGATTTAGTATTTTTAGTTCATGGGAATCTATAGTCACATCAGAAATATTGTCTCCCTTTGTTGTATTTTGTATTTTGCTAGCAGTGGAACCCAGTGCCTTGTTCACAACAGCTATACCACTGCGCTGTAGTCCCATCTTCATATATGTCTATCTTAATCACTAAATACCATCCAAACAGTGAAGGTAGCGGCGGTCTCCCGTTTTAGATTTCCCAGCTCAGAGAGGAATAGCATTGTATCATGTCTTAGTACTTGAATTGGATGCTGGTAGGTAGAGCTCAATCTCTTTTCCAGTGGTCATTCAAAAACTGAAATTTAAATCTTTTTTTTTTAACAAATTTTCTTTTAATTTTTGTGTGTGTGTGTGTGTGTGTGTGTGTGTGTGTG